AACTAAACTTTATAATTTATAGACTTTTCGAACTAAGCAATAGTTTAGTATGCTGCAACGCAAACTCTAAATATAGCATGTGCCACATATAGAATTCGCGCTTCATGCGGGCTTTTCCCCGAGTAGCATATTAATTTGGTCAAGTTGTTTATTTTAACATGCCTATTATTTTAAATCCTTTGGAACCACTTACGGTGGACATACACAAAGAAATATAGATTAGTACAATAGTGCTACAAACTTATTTGAGGAAAAGGTTATTTGACAGAACTACAGCGCATTTTTAGCAGTGACATGAACTCAGACGTCTGACCTGAACAACATTCTAATGTAAACAAAAGGCCATAAACAGTATCAAATTTCAAACGCTCTCAATTGTTCAAATCGCGTTTGCAGACGAGTTTTATTGCGGTTTTTAGTACTTCAAAGTGTCCTTTTTCCAACTATACTAGTCACTGTATGTAATTAGGTCCCACTTTTAAGAAATTCAGCGTAGAAAATAGTAGGATTTGAAAGCCGTATTTTGACATGGCGCTCTTTGTCGCTAAATATTGTCACAAATGCTCTGTAATTGAAAACCTAAGTTAGTTTAGATGAAATTACGATAGTTTTCCGGTGCTGGGTGTGAATATCAGAAATTTTGAACAAATACTTTTGAAATTACGTTTATTTAAATTCAGCCCGTTTAATTAGCCGGCGAATTTGTCCTGCGACGGTGCGAGACCAAAAAATCGCTGAAACTTTGAAACTAAATATATTTTCAAAATTCCAAACAGCATTTGTTTGTTGTTAAAGTCAATGTAGTTCACGGTAAATGTTTCGAAGGAATTTATTTTTCGAGCCCCAAATCAGTGGGCGGTTTTTAGAGACACACGCTCTTAAACAAGCCACAGATCGACGTATACGGCATTTACTCCCATGTTCACGTCGCCATATTAACTTCTTCCAATCACTCGATTACAAAACAAATCATCCCAAAACAAAGAATTCATAGTCGACTTTTAAAAGAATAACCGTTAATTTGTAAATCGTTGAATGGAAAGCAAAAAATCGTCAGCTAAAACAGCTTCTTGCTAACTTTTTGCTTTGTTTTGAATTTAAATGCAATGAGCTTTGTTTCTGCCCGCGATTTTTTGGTCAGCGACGACAAATTTCCTACCTGTTAACAGGGCTTTTCTACCTGTTTAGATAGTGAGGTTTATTGTAATGCTAATGAGTTTCCAAACCATCCCCTCTATTAACTATGGATCGAGCGAGATGCTCAAAATCTATATATATAGATGCTGAACCTACCATAGTTGACAATAAATCTTCGCTTTCTTCCTCGGCTTTCTGATCATCAAATGGAGTCGCACCCGAGCCATATCGAGAAAAGAAACCTGACAAAATGACAATACAACACATATCATAATATTGTGCCAGAATCAGGCCCGCCGAGAGAGAGGGGGGATGTTCTTTGCCCCACAGCCCCCTGCTCAAAAGGGGGCCCAAAGCAACGAAGGCCCGTAACATTTCTTAATACAAGATTGCTTAACTGAGAATATAAATTCTAGCTGCTTTAGTTCCGGATAACATACTGTATAATAAAGTGTAATATATTGTAAAACACAGTTCTCCCATTTTATAATTATGACGTCATAGGGGCCCGTGGGAACGTTTGGCCCCGCGCAACACCTCAGCGGCCCTGGTCAGAATACGACTAATTTTCAACTACTGTATACTTTTTATCTTACTCATTTCAGCTTTTATATTTCCAGAATCTGTCCTTCTATGACCCTTGCTTGGATATATTTTCCTAAGAAATTTGAATTCCTGAAAGTAAGGAAAAATTATGTTAAATAATTGAAAATGTCTCATCAATGTTCCTGACAATAATATGCAGTATAGTGAATTTTAATTGCTAGGAGTAATCTGGTGTGAGAACGTGACCAAACACATTTCCTTATTTCACAGTTTCAGACAGGACAGCAATAACTATATGCCTCCATTAAAATACAAAGAAGGATATATGAGAACCTTTCCGGAAAGTGCATTGCTTTCGCTTTTGGCCTCCCTTTGAGAATAAGGTCCCTAATAGAAAACTTGTGAGCATTAGCTTGTGATTATGCATGGATACCAACCTGTAAATTGACTAGAGAAAAATTCGCCTTGACAGGACACAACTCCCAAACTTCATTCTCCAAAAACATGCGAAGTTCTTCTAACCGGGATCTAAGATAATGTCACAGGGCAATAGTTATTTAAATGGAAAGAGAAACATTATAATCTCCCCAGACAAATAATTAGCGAATATTTTCTAGCTGGGTTTAAACTCCCAAAAATTACATCGTTATATATCGAAGACTTCATGGCACATTCTGGTTTAATGGATTAACAAGGGTCATGAGATAGTTACTCTGACATCGTGGGTTCAAATCTAGTTGGGGACGACTTGATAGCCATGTGAAAAGAGTTAGTCAACGCTCTGTCGAAAGTCGCGGGTTTCCTCCGGGTACTCTGGTTTCCTCCCACAGGTAATGTTGACAGGGTTGGTTAAAGGTTTCCCTAAAATGTAACCCTTCCATCGTAGTTGTGCTCCGTGATCAGGGGTGGATCCAGCAAGGTTTTTCTTGGGGGGGTGCTGGGTGAGCAGCCGAGTGTTTCTTTATAATTCTTTAGGGGGTGGTGGGAGAGATTCAAAAGAATTGGCGTCCTGACGAAGCGGGTCCAGGGTTATGTCCCCCGGAAAATTTTGAAAATTAGAACCCTAGAAATGCCATTTCCTGCGATATGGGCATTGAATTATGAGCTTCAGTTTTACTTCAAAAAAGGAAAAACCTTGGGAATTGTGCCATATTTCTGAATTTGATTTTTTTGCCCCCCTGTTGACCAAGGCCAACAGGGGTGCGCACCCCTGTGCCCCCCTATAAATCCACCCCTGTCCGTGATGGCAAGTCAAAAGTTGCCTTGCACTCGATCACGTCGAGCTGTGTCCTTCGCAATTCAGCTTAGCCAATGGTTTCCTCCCGTACGCCTACGGACTCCACAGCAGGAAGCTTAGTGCAATCCCGTACCGATGGCGTTGGGTAATAGATCGAGCTTAATGTCATAAAAAGACAATAATAATAAAAAACCTGTGATAATTCTTGAAATAATTCACGGTTTGTGTTCTAATAGAATCATGAAGTTCTTCTGATTTACTCCCACAGAACTCCTCCCCAATTGCAATTAATCTATCAAGCAAAAATATTTCTAGTTTTAAATTATATACTCAACTGGTTCAGTTCAGATCAAACGAAAATAAGAGTGGAGCAAAGCAATTTATATAATAACCACAGTGAAACACGCAATTTGATTGGTCAATACCCGTGCAGGATCAAACAATCCTGCACGGGAAATGCAATGCAAATGCCTTCGCGCGGGCTTTATAAAATATCGGACAATGAAAACATTTTAACGTGTGACAGGATATTAAATGAGAGACACGTTAACAAAAACGTTAGTAAAGTTATAATAAAGTTAACCGTTTGGTAAAGTTAACGTTTTAATAAAGTTAACCGTTTTTTCACTGCAGTTATTTCACAAAACAATTATGCGGATGTTGCTCGACGTCTTGCAGCTTGCCGCGTGTACGGATGATGCTATCCTGCACGGAAAACCATTTGGTATTTCTTTAGTGGTAGTAGGAATGAGAGCTTCATCTCGGTGATTTGTGGTTTTAAACCGCAACTTTTTATTTCCAAATTTTAAAATGCCTACATTGAGAAATGATTTCGTTTCCGCTCTGATCAAAGATCGAGCATCAAGGAACGAACTTGGAACGTTTGCAAGACATGCTCTTTTTTAAACTTCTATTATTCGGGTCGATGTGAAATGAACAAGATTCATTATAAGCAGCTAGAAGGAGCTGGCGATATGCTAGGTAAGAATCAACCTCGTACCCAGGGCTATTGTGTAATAAGAGGCATATGGCTCTAGGAAAGATATTGGAACGAACATTGAAACTATTAATTTAACAAAAAATAACCGAAATAATTTTTATTTGCGATAACACTAATTATCAACCTCGTGTGACATCTGATTTGCGCTTCTCTTCCCTGGGTACGAGGCTGAACAAATATAAATAAATAAGACTAAACATACATCCTTACCTATTTACTAAATCTAAAACATGAATAAAATCGTCGTATTTAAAATATGATAAGTCCGTGCCCAATAAATAGCACTTCACTCTTTCTTGGACTTCCTAAAAAAGAACAATGAAATGAACCATTACATATAACTGGAGTTTGGAATTAAGTCACCTAAATGACTAAGGCTGCGTTCAGACTGAGTGCTCGTCACTGGTGCCCAATGTTCAAAATGGTTCACAAAACATGTTGAGCACAGTGCCGTTGTTGAGTACTACCTCTAGAGGTAGTGCCCTTTCTTGGGCGCAGTGCCCAATTTCATTTGGAAGCATCGTGTTCAAACTAGGTGCCACAACAAGTGCCGGGCACCAGTGCCGGGCACGCAGTCTGAACGCAGCCTAAAACTTACAGATACAGATATTTCACAGCACACTCCCTATATCAGGGCTTTTCAGTCGCTGGTTACATTATGAATAGATAGATAGAACCGGACTGACGTGAAGCAGACCGAGGTAGACTTTGAGCTTACAAATGGCGCTTGAGCAGCTGCCGCTATTAGTCCATACCTCATTAATGATCTGCCTCCAGACCTATGTGCCTAACCCACCCTGTCAACTTTCCCTGTGGGAGGAAACACGGAGTGCCCGGAGAAAACCCACGACTTTCGGCAGAGCGTTGACTTTTACTCTTTTCGCATGAGGACTGGGTTCGAGTCACATTGAGAAGTTCTCACTGAGATTCGAACCTGCGACCTTAGAGGTAAAACACAATTACACAACACGTAAAACCTTCCCAGGGCATTTTTCCGACATTCATACAACACTTTCAATGTCTAAAAATTCCTTCCTATAGGGAAATCTACGCCCCTTTAAATATTTGTGACTATGACTTGTTCTTCGCAAATGGCAAACATGCATGTCGTTTTCTGGTTTCCTTTTGCTCGTGTTCAAGTCATGTTCGACGATGTGAAGTCGGAATATTTGCTGTGCTTTGCCGATGTACTGGATGCAAATCAGTCTTTTCTGATTGTATAGAAATATACCAATACTCTAGTATTACATCGGCGACCTTGATATTTTCGCGACCGTTACACGGTCAGAAATTGCGGCCACAAATCGATAACTAAGATGAGCTCATCTTACCAGAGCATGCGTAGATTGTACATGCTGACGTGTATACCGAGTACTAATGAGGCGAATACTTAATTATTTCAAAATATAGTCGGTAAAGTTGTTAAATTTTTGGCCCCAAAACAATGTTAGGTGACTTAGAAATAATTATACGTCGAACACTTTAAACTTACAACTTCAGCTTTATTTTGTTGCAATAGATTAAAGTAAAGCAAAACAAAGAAGCACGCGAAATTTTTTGACTTGAGCCCACGATGCCATGCAATGAATACTCAGCGACATGACCTTTCTCTGCGGAATTTCTGATTGTGAAATGTTTATGAAACGAGTGTTTATGAAACAAAATTTTTACCCCATTTTTTATTGTTTTGCTAAAAAGTACTGGTGGAGTGATGAAGAATGACGTTTACGGTTTTTCATATCTCACTCATTCTCAAGTTATCGCACTTTCTATATTTTTGAGATTGACATGGTGTTGTACGTGCTTCCCGGGATGATGGATTACAGGTAGCAAGAAGCATTGAATGAATTTGATTTTCAAGCTTGCAGATTGATTTTCACCAGGCGCCTCAATATATCACACGCAGCCTTATTCACAGGATATTTTCTATTTTCTTACGCCTATTTTAGGAGAGATCTTACAGTATGATCATGCAGTGCAAGAGTCTCTGTTTGTCGAGTGACTTTATGTACCTTCCAAATTCTGTGCAATCCGTGGTTCAACTTCTGAGTGACATATTTCCTATTATAAGATGCTTCACCATCACTTTCGTCTTCCTGTGTTTGCATGAAATCATCATGTTGTTGATGCCACTCCATTACTTCATGGTAATTCGACATCACTTTCCACAGGGTCTGCAAGATATTTATAGCATGTGTTCTTCAATTCATTTGCCGGGGATGGGATATTATGGAATAAATAAATCTGAGTATTAAATATCGTAGTTAGTAGAAGAAATGATTTAGAAACTCATGAGAATTCAAAAATAACTCATTATCCATGTTTTTGTTTGGGTTTATTCAGAAATCTGGTCCTTCATCATCACGTGTGTATTGTATCTTCGCCCAACCAACCAATAGCAATGTTTTAGGAAGGTTAGCTATCCGTGACTTCAACACTAGTGATTAATTTGGTAGCTTACAAATTGCTATTGGTGGATTTGGCAAAAACGCAATAAGTACGTGACAACGAAGGACCACATTTTGGACTAAAACTACGTTCACACTCGCCGAAGCGGTTTGAAAACGGCGCGGAAAAGTCGCAATTAGCCGTTGGTATGAAAACGTCACTTTTGCCGTAACAATTTGAGCACGGTTTCCAAACGGAACGAGATGAAAACGGAGTGCTTGGCGGCTTCGTGTGAACACAAACCCAGTTACTTTTTTGTACCGCTTGCAAACCAAGCATCTCAGGTCTCAAACCAGTAAACTCGAATGCTTTTCGTTTAAATTTCTTTGCTCTATTTGAAATATTTTGGGTTCACATGAGTGCTAATTTAATTTGTAAACAAACTGTAACGGCGTGGTGGCAGCATTATTTCGCTCCAGTGTAGTGTGAACGTAGTCTAACATACATAAAGAATTATTCTAATGAGTTTCCAAACCATCTCTTCCCGGTGAGGAAAAGTACGTTATTCATCTTACTTTGCATAAATCAACCAAACATGGAGTGAAGTCTTCAACCCCAACTTTCTAAAGAGAAATATCTGTGTTACCAGCATCCATCTTGTAATGAATATTGAATGCCCAAAATGCTTTTCAAATTTGTAATTGCACATTAATTAAGAAAATACCCGAAAGAACCATCAAATTAGTTATATTCAGTCAAAGCAATAAGCGTTCTTCGTTATTGCAGATAGATTGCCTTTTAAAGGTGTTACCAGTGGCAGACACTAGAGGCCCATTAAAGAACTAAGATTAAAGAACTAAGATTAAAGAACTAAGAATTCTAGCTACAAAAGGCGGTCGTATGCAACCTAATTCGCCTCTCCCAATATTTTGCCACTGGGTGTTTCACCAAAATTTGTAGTACAGAGGACAGGTGTATAAAAGCCTTAACTACTTTGTAAATATCCGTTTTGCACTTAAACACAAGTATTAATGCTGACTGGTTACCTTTTGCACTAACTATAGTCAACTTTAACTTTTTGTACGCCCAGCCCCAGCAACAAGGCACAATGGAAATATAGAATTAGAACAAAACATTTTACTGCACGTACCTGACAAAGTTCTTGAAAAGGAATGGTCTGAATACCACCTTCATTCAAGTCTTCTGGACAATTCTCCTACAATTTGCCCCAGTATTAATAACACAGTGTTAACAAAAAACAAACCAAAACGACACTTGTCTTAGACTGCTACACTCTAAAAACACTCTGGTTAAATTCAACCAGGAATTGGGTTAATAATCCACCCAACACATTATGGTTAAATTTAACCCATTTCCTGGTTAAAAATTATCAATTCAACAAAAATTTGGTACACTTTTTTGGACTTTTAACCAGGAAAATGGTTAATTTTTTTTAACCAGACTTGTGTAGGTGGATTTTTAACCCCGTACTGGTTGAATTAACCCAAATTTAACCAGAGTGTTTTTAGAGTGTACCCAGAGACAACAGAAGTCTGGATTAGAATGGTTGGTGCACGTAATCAAAGTTCAATTGATTAAGACCCCAATTGCACGATACCCCATTCACATGGTACGACATGAATATATGCCGCTCACGAATTGTCATAATTAAATTTTACCACTGGGCAATTTTCGTCTTATGTTGTCATATATAGGGTTGGGCGATATTAAAAAATCATCTCACGATTATTGTCGAGGAATTTATCACGATATTCGATAATATCGCGATAAATGCAATAAAAACAATGACAAATAAAATAACAAATTAAGGGGTAGCTTCACCCCAATTTTTACTCTAAATTAACAACTCTTTAACAGTCGATATTTGGCAAGTTTTTGATTGAAATATGGTCAACCTATATATTTTTAGAAACTACAGAACTTCAGCTACAATCTGAGATAAAAAAATTTCCAGTTCGATACATCGAACTGAAATTTGACACCAAAGAAGGGCGTAGTGTATGGAAAGTTAGATTTTTGAGGGCCCAGTTGCCCCCCCCATAAAATTTTCTTTAATATGTTATGTATTCAAGTGAAATTGCACCTTGTGGTAGTATAGATGTTGAACTATGGTCCTATTAGCCATTTTTTTGTTATTCACCACGGTTGCCATGGTAACGGCAAAACCATATTGGAAACAATCTTTTTCACATAAATCTTTATAGAAAATAGATATTTAAAAAATGGGTAATAGGACCATACTAGATACATTTAGCTACATATGTGCCAAAAATGGGCCAATTTCATTGAAACAGTAATGAGAAAAGGTGGGGGGCAGTTCACGTGCGGCCAAAAATCAGTTTTCGAGAAAAATACTGTTAAAGTTTCGGTTTCATACTAACTTGTTCTTTCTATGTTACTCAGTCAGTTTTAGGTTCTATTTCTTTCTTGTAAGTTTGCTTTTTCCCTTTTTACCAGTTTCCTTGCCAGTCTGCCTCTTCCTTTTTCTTGAACCCTGGATATTATCCTCATTAAATGCTGCGCTCTCATATGTTATGCCTTCCCGAGCTTTCAGTCTTGCCTCCTCCACCAATTTAGCCTGTCGTATTTTCTGCCTTGCTTCCTTGAATCTCTTTTGTGCTCTTGTATTTGCTTGCTTTACTCTTTTGTTGTTCTTCCTCTCACTCCCAGCTTCAGTAAAACAGCCAGCAGGAATCTCCATTTCTCTCATTACATCATGCCGGGCAGTCGCACCAACGTTAAATTGCATTACTGCGGATGCTGCAGCTGTCTCCACAGAACTGAGCCCTCTATTGCGGTGTTTTGGACATCTGTTCCATACTAGAGAATTGGTGGTTTGTTTTCAAGACAGGATCAAGATGGTGTGGTTTGTTTTCAAAAGCAGGATCAGATCCATTCGCTTTGTCTCTTTGGTAGGAACACCATGAGCTTTTTCCTTGAAGGCAGTACTGATGTCTCTTTTTACCATCAACAATCTTGACACTGTGGTACAATACTCCTTTGATGGCACCCTGCATCCGTTTCACTGCTTTGTCAATTTCTTGGCTTGTTTTAGCTTTTTTGTCAACAGAGGATCTGATAGCATTCCCATAGTATTTCTGCAGCTTGTCAATTGTTGGCCTAGTGAGTCTCCCAGCTTTGCCTCCAACAGTTTTTCCATCGGCAAGCTTTGTTTTCCCTGTCAGTGCAATTAGATTCTTTCCCATCCGCTTCTGGACGTGTCCAACACAATCAAGCTTGTTTACTCGACTACACTTTGTTTTACCATTGTGGTGATCATTTTCCCATGTAGCATAATTCTTTGATTTCAACCAATTTTTATATTCTAGTGATTGTTTGTCCATATTCTCATATTTTGCACAAGTTTTGCAAACTCCATATGTGTCCCATACTTCTCCATATGCTTTGCTGTCGCCATCGCATACCATATCAATGTATCTAAATTGATGTTTTTCAACCGATCTGTTCCACAAGATTTTGGCTGCTTCCTTCTCCATTGCAGGACTAGAGCCACCAAAATTTTTTTGACACAGTCCACTTGCCACATGTTCATTTTTCCATTGTTCATACTTTACCGGGTTGGATTTGAGCTTCTCAGCAGCTTTGCAAACTTCACAAACTTTTGATAGAACAACATAATCCAACACCTCCCCTGTGTCTGCAGAGATAACAATTCCTACCCCATAATTAGCTGTAAATCCTCGCTTGCTCCATGTGCCATCAAATGACACAGCAATGTCAAGTAATTCTGTTCCATCCTTGTCTAAGCTTGCTCTTACACGGTGACCAGCTTCACTCAACTTTTCATCCAAAACTTTCTTTGATGCGAGATTCACAGATCGATTGTGCTTTTGGTAAGCACTATCACTCACAGGAGGTGGCATGTTCAAAATCTCACAAATGGTTGCGAGAGCTTCTCTGCCTAAACCCAACTCACCCATGGCAAAATTGGTTCTCCGATTGACATCAAATGAACGTCCCTTTCCCTCAACAGTCTTTGATGTATCCATGTCAACCCTCTGCTTACATTCTGTGCACTCAAAATAATATGTACTGCTCCATCCAGCCCGTTTAGAAGTGTCCTCACAAGATACAATCTTTCCATTTTTACACTTGTGCATGCTTTCTACAGTTTTGCGAATGTTTTCAATAAAAACAACACGATAACCTTCCTGTTCTGGCAAATTAGTAGAGGAGTTTCTTGTGTGTACTTTGACTTCAAATTCTGGAGTTTGAGGCTCTTGTATAAACGTTTTTGTTTTGCTAGCATTCTCCAGTTTCCTTGCCGATGTTGATATTATATCGTTTTGTTCTTCATCGCCATCTACAATCTCATAAGCACGATTTTCCTTCACAACGTGGTCGCCATCTTCGCACATAGCAGAAAATCTTTTCCCTTTAAAATAGGGTTTTTTCTGCGATTTTCTTTTAGCACTACGCTTTATTCCTTCCTTTGAACCCTTTGGCATTATTACAAATGGAAACAGAAGCAAAATATAGAAAAAAATATGCGAATTTCAATAGAATATTCTCTCGATTTTCTCGTGCTCTTGAAAGTTGATTATGTAAATTTGTGATTATGCAATATTTAGCATGCCCCTAAGTGCCCCTTTTATCCATAGTACACCCTCTTGGTATAGTAGCCTAAAAATACATTTTCACATTTTCACGCAAGTACAACAGCGTTTTTAAAGCGATTTTTGCAATCCGTTTCCATGGTTACTAGGTATAAACAATTAAAGATTTTTCAGGGCCTTTTCTAAAACGGCCAATTTTTCATATAAAACCTATTCTAATGTAAAAAAAACTTTAGCAACTGATAAACAACATGTTTAGGTACCCTATAATGGTGTTTTTGCAATTTTGACTTTTTCATTCTAATCAACTAAATTTTTGGGTGAAGCTACCCCTTAAAGTAATAAGCAGGCTTTTTTTGTCTAATATTTACTGTTCATAAACCTGAACTGTGTATGCCATGCAGTGTCTACTGTGTCTCCGCAGGCACAAATGCCGTGGGCACACAGCGCAAACATAGCATGCAATTTCATTGTTCAGCGGATTAATACATAAATATTAGCTTTAATATTGTATTAAATTCATATTTAATTCAGGAAATAGTTCTAATTCTTTTAAAAACTATATTTTCTAGGAATTGAAAGACGTTTTTAGGATTTACAAAAGCTATATACACACATGCGAAGCAATATCACGATAGTCATCGAGCATGACGATAATTTCGATATATCGTCGCTCAAGTTTCTACCTTCGATACAATAATCGTGGTTGAAAATATCGCGATAAATCAAAATATCGAAATATCGCCCAACCCTAGTCATATAATCGCAATTTGAATTGCCAAGTGCTTCTGAAACGGTTAAATTCAATGTTTCTGACAAGCGAGTCCGTATCGTATAAGTGGGCCCTAAAATATTTGATGAAAGACTTGAAGACTGCCCAAAACATATAGATGTTCATAACGCCGCTCTCCAATCAGTCTGAAGTTCCATTAACTAAAGTAACTCTACCACATGTATGATATTACAAACCTCAACATGTTTTAATAAAACAAGAAATGCTTCACTGTTGATCGAGTTCATAAAGTGAAGGTGAAGTTGATCCATTGCAACCTAAAACACGTTTTTATATTTTCCTCAAAATTGCGTAAAATAATGGTATAAGATGTGTAATTTAACACTTGCCAGGGGCAAGTGAATATCATGACGGGCAAGTAAACGTTCTATCTTGCTTGCCCGGTGGGCATCTATCTTGCTTGCCCGGTGGGCAAGTTTCCTAGCCACAAAAAGCTGGGCATCTCTAAGTTTATGTTTTCATTGTGGGATAATTCTTTACGAGTCTTTAACATTCTCCCATGAAGTATTTATTTGTATTGAAAATGTCGATATGTTTTATAGCCATTAACTGAAATTCTGGGGCAGGTTATATAAAACTCTTAAGTACGTTGTAGTTAAATCACTGTTACCTCTGAAATGCACGATTCTGATTGGTTAACTTTTCCACTAAGGATAGTTAACTTTAACTACTTTAGTTTTTATACAACTGTCCCCCAATCTTGGCGCATTACTGCTACAAATAATATATAGCTGAAAATAATTTCATAGCAGATTCGCAGTATCTTTCGTCATGCTGAGCGCGTGTCAAAGAACGACGACTTACCTGTATTTTACCAAGATATCTATAAGCAGTTTGCAATTTCTCATAATGTAACGCGTCAAAATTGTTACATGTTTTAGCCAAGGCACTATCCAACTCACTCTAAATTGAGAGATTTAAAATATGTTGGCATACATGTACAAAAAATTCGTCAGGTTAGAATTATTTTGTCCTATGTCCACTTTTTGGTAGTAGGACAGCACAGGACAAAATAACTCTAACCTGACGAAATGTAGTTATTAATAATCGAATTAGGTTGTTCTTTAAAGGTCTAAACTGGAAGTGGAAAATACTTCAGGGGAGGTGCAGCAGTCTTGCCCACAACCTCTGGGATGTTAATATGGCTTAGAATGAACTCAAGGTAGTTTTGTGACGTATATGCATGTAATTGTACATTATTATCTATCAATGTGTTCATGAATGACTATCCAACTCATCCAATTTCGCTAAAATGAAATATTGGATTAAAAGGGTAATTAACACAAATATGAATGATTATCATTTTTCAATTTTGTACAAAAAAACGTTACAAAGTGTATTCTAAAATTAGTTGTTATTCTAAAGTTAACTGTTAGGTTTAAGTGGAGGGGCACACGTCCCCACGCCTCCCCTCAAAAATCCGGCCATGGGTCTAATTAGTCTCACAGGCGCAAAATCTCTACCTTCAAACGTTTCATGAAATGTTCCTCCTTCAATATTCGATAACGTATGCAAGTCCTGACTGTGTTTTTTTCGCGCTAAGAGGCGGGGTTTTCATATTTTAACTTTTGAAAGACAACCTTGAGTTATACCTGTAGCTGCCATACGCAGCATTTAACATCAAACCATGGATTTTGTTATTGAGTATATTCTACTGTATATCTTATATGCCTTAATCATTAAACAGAAGACGAGCGGAGGAGGTTACACTTTACAATTTTATGTGCAACTTATGTCGGAGCAAAATTCCGAGACGAGTTGCGATATAAGTTATATAGTATAACAGCGCCTTAACACGGCCCAACGTGTCAACACTCTTTCTATCAACCGCGGCTTGCAGCAAGCATAACTTACCTCAATTTGAATTATATATTTCATAACTTACCTCAATTTGAATAAGTATATCCTGCAGGTTTGCACTTAGTTCACTGAAAAACAAAAACCTAGACATCATTAATTTGTTCGCATTTTCGTAAGAAATTTCTGATTCCTCCTGAACGTCTCGAATACATTATACAGAAACTTATGTTTTAATAAAATCCACCATAAGAATACGAATTGAAACTACAATGAATATTCAATTTCATAACAGAAGATATACTGTACACATAGTACATACATGGTGGAATTATTTAATTTACCTAATGCATTTATAATGTTTAAAAGCACGAGCAGCTTTTTCACACTCCAGACACAAATTGATCGCGCCAGGATAATCTTCTTCCTGTTGATGGTAAAAAGTAAGAAATCCAAGCTATTATCCCTAGAAATATAGGGGTATTCATTATTATTGCATGTTCATGCAAATTGCCGACAAAATCGCCAGTGTAAACCAAATGTTATATTTGTGAATTTAATTTTTGTACATACAATTTTATAAAATGTATATACAATTTTAGACCTAATCTGGAGCAGCTTCAAAAAATGAAACTTCAGGCCCCCGGCAGGAATCGAACCTATACTGTACGGATTCCGGTGCAACACCCTGACCACTGAGCTACAAAGACCAGTTTCCGAGCATGAAGGGCTTCGGTGGCACAGTCGTCACAGCAAGCACCTTTCAATGCATTTTGGGGGGCGGAAGAATAACTCACTGGCACTCGAAGATCTAATTACTCTCGTGGGGATTATCGGTTCAGGGAGAACATATTCAGATATGACAACCAGACCATTTATAGCTTTAAAGACGAACACGAGTTCCACGTACTCATGCCAGCACGATAACGGCATCAGTTCTAAAGTGGTCAGCCTCTCACGGTAAGACTCACTATACATGTAGGGAAGATTCAGTATGAACTTGGAAGCTCTTCTCTGTATACACTCTGTTCGTTTGATGAGACCTATAGACTGGGGCGAGGTATGGACCTGCTTTGCTTTTGCACAACGTTCTAGAACGTCGTTGGTCCACGTAAGATCACTAGAAACCCAAATTCCCAGATCCATTTCGGCTGATGTTGTTGTAAGTTCGTTGTCCTTGATCTTGTACGGATAAATAACAGGCTGGGTTTTCCTCGTTACACGCAGACATTTACACTTGAGTTGGTTGAAGACGAGACCACTGGAGGTAGACCAACTGTCTAGGTTACTCAGATCAGTTTGGAATAAATCAGATCACAGATAGAATCCACACGACGAAAGATCTTGGTGTCGTCAGCAAAGCAGGCAACACTGGAGTTCTTGACAACATCAGGTAGGCAATTTACATAGAGGAGGAACAGGATGGGGCCTATTACACTTCCTTGAGGTACTAATGTAATGCAATGCATTAATTCACTGCAAGTTCTTGTTTATATAATAAGGTGATGGCATTGGCAGAAATATGATTGGGTAAATATCAACATTTTGGGCATCTCGTTCGATATGTCAGTTATATCGAACGAGATGAGTTCTTGATATTAACATATACTTGCTGTGAACCAGGTTTTAATGTTGATACATAGAACATGTCAAGTGACATGTGACGGACATGACATGTGACGGTTAACTATAAAAATTAACTACGTACTATACATAATATTTTGTAGCTATACCTGTAACATTTCTCTCAGTCGAACATCAGTTTGTTGCTAGAAAAATTACAGTGCATGTTAGCCAGAATTATAAACTCTATTATAAAATAATTAATGCACCATATGCAGATATAGACAATGATTTTAGATGTACATGCATGACATTTATTTCGTTGAGCATCTTCACGAAGAAATTAAAAAGACAAATTGTTAACTGGATCATGCCAAATTCACAACAAATAAAGTTTGATTTCTCGAGATATCATGCAAAAGCCATGATTTCCGCACACACAAAAAGCTTCTACGCTGTACATGTATGTCCATTTATACCAAAGGTTTTGCGGCAACGAACACACGTGTTTTCTTAAAGTTAAAGCAACTTACAAGAGTTTTAATGGTTCTTAAAGACTGCAGTACATTGAACAAATGCTGTTTCTTCCTATTTTTAGCCAACACAGTAAGACCTCCCAATGACGTCTCTTTTCGTGAGTGTTCCAGGTGACTAAAAAATACAGATATTCCATCAAACTCGTAAGCGAGGGGACATATTGGTATTCATCAAGTAACCAACCATAACACCTTTAATTGGTATTGCGTCTGGGGCCGGTTGTATGAAGGCTGGATAGAGCTATCCACAGGATATTTTTCAACCTTCGTGAAAATGCTTGAAAAGTTATCTACCGATATGGATCTCACAATTGAATAAAAGAAAACTTAAATTTATAATAATCTGGGTGAGACCAATCAACAAACAATTTTAGAAAGATTGAAAAAATCACAATCCGGTCTTCGTACAACTGGCCATGGGGCTGGTTAGCGCTATCCACCAGATAGTGATTTTTTCAACCGTTGTAAAAATGTTTGAAAATTACAAAAAATTGTACACAAAACTTAGTAATTGTATAATTTCTCCCCAATTGAGAAGCAACACGGGGTGACCCCAAAAGGACTTGATCAAACGTTTCATTTTACTATTATTTATTAAGGTGCTCCCTCGGACAGGATGTAGGGACTATGTTCTTCCGCACATACATAATTTTCGAACGGATCTCAAATTTAATAAAAAAAATCTGTTTTCATGTGTGCACACGAATACGTTGCGTTTTCAAGAGTGTCTATGCTCAGGGTGTGAGTTTTCGCTGGATAGCTGTGAATAAAAGATGATTGAATCTGCAACAAAATTTTGCACACTCAAACGAATCGTGGACAGTGTCTTGCAGTAAGTGTAGTATATTAAAATTATTTAGTTTTTGTTTAGACTTGAAAACATTAATATTTAACAAATATAAAACATTTTCCGTGTTGATATACAGTTATATCAACACGAGTGGAATTGGAAAAACGAGAAATTGTATAATATATAGCGATGTCAAAAGCCCGAAGGATAAGAAAAATTTCCGTGTTTAGAAGCGGTGGAAATTTTCCCGTGTTGACATTGAGTTATATCAACACGGCTTTTAGCCAATCAACGTTCAGAATTTACAAATGCTATATTATAAATAGTATTTAATACAATACATGCATCGTTACTAAATGCTTGTGCATGTGTATGCAAAGAAATATAGTGTTCTACCTTCGTCCACTATCGCATATTGTTTTAGCGAGTTCAAGAGTCGCTTGGATGTCAATAACCCGTTGCAATTCCTAGAAAGTAAAAGTATATGTTTGAAGAATTGTAAGTACAAGAAATGTTTGAGGACTTCAAACAGAAGAAACGCCAATTAAGTAATAGACAAACCTGCATATACGCCTTCTGGTTATCCAGAACTTTCATGTACAGTTTCTTGGAAACCTGAAAATTTAACAAAAGGCCTGACCAAACTAAAACGTTCGAGTTCTAAACAGTAACTCAGGGCAATATCTGGTTGGTCTGCTAAAAAACTAATATGCTATAATAAAATGTACTATTGAATGATAGCTTTTTGACATGAGCATGTTTTTTTATTGTGCACAATCTGGCAATGTCTATACGTAAAATCTTACTGCTTGAGCTTGTCTTCTTAATACATTTCTGTACTCATCCAGTTCCTCTTTGTTTAACACCTCTGGTAGTTTCTAACATGAAAATTTCAGAATTTAACAAACAATTCTTGTTGCATATCTTCAATTAACACCAGTACTTGTAATATGGTGGTCATCATGCTTGCCTTTCAAGCTGGCCCTTACGAAAATATTCTATAGAATATTACATTGAAATATTCTATGGAATATTCTATGAAATATTCTAAAGGATTTTGGAACCTATTCTATGGCATATTCTATGGGATAGTCTATGGGATATTCTAATGGATATTCATTTGAATTCTATAGAATATTCTATGAAATATTCTAAAGGATTTTGGAACCTATTCTATGGGATATTCTATGCAATATTCTATTGGACATTCAGTTGAATTGTATACAATATTCTATAGAGTGCCCTATAAAAAATTCTATAGAAAGTTCTATGGAATATTATATGGAATATTCTACTGAATATTCTATGGAACATTCTGTTGAATTCTATACAATATTCTATAGAAGGTATGGAATATTCTATATAACATTCTGTATTAGATTCTATAAGATTTATAAAAGTTTCTATTAAGAAACATTTATTAAAACACAATTACCATTGTATAAAGAACTTGTTTAATTATTAACTAAACATTAGTGAAACAGCTAGTTAACCATGATCAGAATTATATGTTTATAGCTACCATTGAACTACAGTAGGAAATGGGTATTTAAAAAGTAATCAGCAGCTGCAAGATACAACTGCCTCATGCCTGGAAACAATTATTGCAATTTTATTTGGTGGAGAATATCACTTACATTAACATGTGCCTGGATTTCAATATTAAGTATGTATACAGATGTAAATATCCAGGCTTAAATCAAAATTAAGTGCTGCCAACAGAACCAATGTACGTGGCATATTGTCCACAAAACAAAACAACTATGCAGGAATTTAAAAATAAACAATGGGCTAGTCAAACTGTTGTAGGATTACTCTATTTAGTGAATATTTTTATTAGAATAAGTGTCAATGTTACTGTTATGTGTAGATACTTTCTTTTTTTCACAATATTGTTAGTCCTTGTGTTCATCATTGTTAATCCTTGTTGTCATCATTGATGCATATGGTCTTGAAGGGGAACACTGGCCATTTTGCAAGAGTCGTAATTGCTCTTCCAATTTGGAAACAATATCTGTTAGGCATGGCATTACTATACAAAAATGAAAAATAAGTAAATGTTACCCATTAAGTTTCATTGCATCCTACTTTATTATTTTACTCTGTCTAACACCAGGCAACTTTACTCTTCAAGGGGATAGCAGTTTTGCTCAATGGATTAACCCTTTCATGCACCCCATATGCCCAACTTTAGTATTTACTGTCTAACGCTCACTCTATCTCATCGTCTGTGTAAATTTAGTATTTACTCTGTCAGACAATGTTACTTGTCAAGTGAATTAGAGTCTTGAACATTAATGGGTTAACAAGACATCAGCCATTATGTCCTGTTAACCCATAAATACTAAATTTAACATTAAATAAATCTTAATTAACTCAATTAAACACATACCAGTTGCCACTGTCCAGCTTAGGGGTGTTTACAAGATCCAGACTGATTTGTCTGGCTTGGGGGGCCACTTTAGCTAGGCCAGTATATAATTTTCTTCATATAAAGCACTAATATTAAGA